AGTGTTGCTACAGGAAACAATTCTTTAAAACAACATCATCAATCATCATCATCCAACTGGAAATGAAAAAATAAAGGCCACGTGAATTTTTCATTACTTGTGAGCTGATCTAGCATGGTACTAAGCACCTCCTGACAGATGCTCAGTGCCTTCCATGTCCCCTGATGCTAATGAGATTTGAACATGCTGAGCCCCTTGGAGACATTGAGTACCTTGGAGGATTGAACCTCTTTTTGATTTAAAACCCTTTAAACAGGTTTTTATTTAAACAAAAAACCCTTTCCAGGTCACTATGGTATTCTTTATGCAAAGGCTGTATAGTAATTAATAAATTAATTAGTCATTAATAGTAATGAAATCTAAAACCTACAGAGCCAAATCCTCAGCTTGTGTAAATGAGCATAGCTCCAATGGAACTACACTGATTTACATAAACTGGGGATCTGGCCTCAGCTGGTCTCTGAATTTCAGAGAGCAATGTCATTTCTACAGAATTTGTTTTGTGTTTGTTTTTCAAACCGATTATATAGAGTTCTATAGCACAAACATAATTATCCATTACATTCTATAGTACTTTTCTATTAGAAAAAAAATGGTGGTTTCTCCTCTTGACAAATCTGAAACACTTCAACACGTATCCCTGTATGGTATTTTTACATATTTAAAGTCTACTGTTGGTAAATATAAATATAACAATGCACAAATGTGAAACCTGCAATTGTTTGATTCAGTAGCATGCAAAAGAAGGACAGAGATCTGTATGTACCAAAAAATATTGTGAATGATCTCTTAAGAGCAGCAAGATTGAACATCAAAGAGTAATACAGAGCAGTTTAGTACCCACTACTGTATGGTGGTTCAAACGTTTTATGGAGAATAAATTGCAGGCATTTGTTTTTCTACAGCATGCTCAAAAGCCCCCCATGAAACCATTATCTAAAGCCTTTTTTCTCCAACTCCAAGAATCAAAATGGAGTGAAATGTATCATTTTAAGCTCAATTTGCTACAAATAACAAAGAAGTTTTATGTCAAAATAACAGATGTGACAAAGAAAAAGAGCTGAGGACCAACCTTGGACCTTTTCTCCTTCCCTTCATTGACAAAGTCAAAAAAGGACAACAGAAACATGGCCTCTGTCAAATTTTCAGTAGTGGAATATTAAAGACCATCTCATCACATCATCTACAGGGTCTGTGCATGAAAATTAGAGAGGAAGGAGTTCAGATACAACTGAAATTAAAAGGTCATTGGTGATACAATGTTGCATGCTATGACGCTGTCAAATTCAGCATCAAGTTCATTACTGAGACTCCTTTAGAAGGAATAAAAGGTGTTACGGGGCCTTTTGTTTCCTTTTTGCTCTAATTTTCTCGTGTAAATAGGAAAAGAGATCCCAGTGTAGTGTGCAGCAAGACCACAGTACAGCTAAACACACATTACTCTGAGGAAGTCAAACAAGATGCTTTGTAAGTGAACTGATGGGTGTTTTTCAGCAATTGTGATTAGAAACCATTAGTACAATAAAGGAGCCCAGGTGGATCATACTGCAATAATCTGAAATCAGAATGATCTATACGTGCTGATTTAGTTGCACACAGTCAACTGGGATCAAGAAGGAATCAAGAATTATTTCCTGAGAGTTCTTTAACTCAGCAATTCTTTATTGGTGTGGGGTGTATCCACTCAGTCATCTTCACCACGAGAGCCCCTTACTGCAGATACCAACCCAACTTCTCTACCAAAAGGCCAGTAGCGCCAGCACTTCCCTAAAAGTAGGGAGCGGTGTCCAGGAATGTGGCATGGCTAAGGTAGCCAGGTGATGTGCCAAGCAGGAGATCTAAAAGAAGGGCAGCATCAAGGAACAAATGAACAACACAGATGGGAATGTAAAAACAGGTGCACAGGGAGCTGCTCACGGATAGGGAGGCATAACTGATATCTTTCCACACCAGATTCACTTATTTTAGTCCTTAGTTTTCATTATCAATTACATCTCTAATTCCAACACACTGGAGATTAAAGAATGACTAGAGAAGTCATATGGTGAAATTGTCTTATGAAGGAAATGCTGATTTTAAATATCCATAACTTAAAAAAAATTACTGAACCAATAGTGTTTTTCTTTCCTCATGGAGGACATTAAAACAATACAAGTTTGAAGTTCCTACCTTTAGCCATTTTTTCCCCCACTCTTGCATAACTTGAAGATACCTGGACCAATTTTTTTCAAACTTCAGTGAAAAATCCATCTCAGAACTCAGAGCAAGTATGGACAATTTCAGCCCAAGGACCATATGTTTGAGGAAGTGATGGGGTTATGGAGGGGTTAGAGTGGGAGGCACATTTCAACCTTACCTGGGTGTTCACTACCTGTGAGCACTATAATAAGTAGAAGGACGTTCATTTATAAGATTAAATATGGGGGGTTTAAATTGTAGATGAAGAGAACAAACCATATCAACACGGACACTTGTTAAAAAAAAACAGTGAACTTGATGGGCAAAAAAGTGACTGCCAGACAGTCTTACTGGGCCAGAAGGCTTGTTTCTTTGAAGTGGAGATTCAAAGAAGAAATGTACAAAACGCTAAAGGAGTAGAAGTGGGAGCAATGGGTTATGGAGTCTTCTTGGGTCTATGTCATAGGAGTTGGGTAAGAAGAGCACAGGAAAAGTTTGCTGAATAAAGGTTGCAAACTTCTTCGGGGTGGTTGTGGATGTTTTAATTAATTCTGGGTCACCATTCTTGAATTCTATTGCTAATTCTACTTATGATTGCTCATTTAAATGAAAATGGCTGCTAGAATCTTTGTATTTCATCCTCTTGTGTAGTTTGGGTTTGGATGCTGTTGCTATCTGACAGTCCACATGGTGAAGAGGGATTGTTATTTGTTGAACACCAAATGTTATGCCCAACCCAGTACAATGTATGGAGAAATACCCAGTTCCTGACACAAAGAGCTTACAATATTCCTGTAAAAATGGACAATGGAATAAGGTGTTTATGCTTTCTGCTTTGTGGAACAAGAAAATACAACTAAATCTGCTGCAATGAGAACAATGTTAGTCAATTTCCCATGGTCATTCACAATCCGTATTCTAAAATAGGCCCAGGGTAATCTTAAAACCCGAAGCTGATATAAAGCTTCGATGACCATACTCAACCATAAAGTAAAATGAGGAAATGGAAAGGAAAACGAGGGAGGAAAAAACTATCTGCCTTCATCAGGATTAACTGCTCAGTAGCACATTCATTTGAGCAAACCACTGTAATAGGTTTACTTGAGATGTGGGCTGTATGAAAGCAAAAGAGGCCAATAAACACCACCCACGAAACCATTTTAGGGGTATTTTACCTTGAGAAGGAAAAGGAATACATCAATATATAACATTGTCTTAAGAACCTAATAGTCTTTAAGGATATGCTGGTGCACCTACAGTGCACTATTTGACTATAAGAATTTATTATCAATGGAACACTTCTGCTTTTCCAGTACCAGGAAGTTATTTGGCCTCTACTATGCAGAAGATCAGATGAGATTATTGTAATGGCTCCTTCTGGCCTTAAAAAAATCTATGAATCTTGTGAATTCTACATTAACAAAAGAAAGAAACTCCTTTACTTATGCAATTGGGAGTTCTGGGTATGCAAATAATGCAAGATCAGTTTCTTTAGGGGAGTGTAAGTGGCCCCCAGAAATAGTGATCATGACCCAATTCTAAGAGAAGGAAGAAACAACAGATACCATCAGTGTTTAATGAACAGATTCCTGTCTAGAGGGTAATTATAGACACACATGATCTCCTCTTTCTTGGCACACTACCCTTTCCTCCAAATTATGAAAAATATTGACACAACTGCTCCTATATGCTCCTATTGAAATAATCAGTCCTAACAGGTAAGAACTGATGGTTTATTCAGTAACCCCCTATGGTGCTGCTAGAGCAATGCAATGGGAATATCTGAAAGGAATTCCTGATGACAGACAGATACGATTTGCTGTGGCAAGTTGTCATTTCTTAGCTGCTGCCTTCATCAGTCAGCCACTCGATTTTTTGACGGTAGAATCTTATGGGTGTCTGCTTTGTTCAGGCTTCCTACAGTTCTGCTTCTGGTATATATGAGCCGGTGTCAATTGAATCACACTACTTTAAGCTTGCTGTGGTATTGCTTTCACTAAGGGAGAGACAGCCTATTCTGATATAATTATGCCATTTTCTTATAGCAGGTATTTTATTTATTTCAGAGGATACCACCAGTCTGGTTTTTACCTCTTACATTTTCTGTTTGGGCTTCTTCTGCCTGGCAAACTTCAAAGTAAACAGTTGAACATATCTATTGACAATCAAAAGTGTTCATGTAAACAGGCTAAAAGCACTGCTCAGTCACAGACCCCTTATTGCTTTCTGATTTCTAAGGAAAAAATAGCAATGATTAGTTTGCCCACCACGAAGAGAAAGATGACATGACCTTAGGAACCAGGAAAGCTTCCTGGCAAGATGGACCCCATGAATCAATTTACATAAAATAAATCTTTTGTGAGCTTAATATTACCTTTAAAAAACTCCATCAAGTAGCCAAGCACAAGCAGGACACAGATACTACTGTTGACCGTTGCCTATTTCCAGCCATTATATGCTCTAGTGAGTGGTTTTGAACTCCTAATTCCTCTCTCACTTTCATTTTGTATTTTCATCACTGGCTAACAAAAGAGGCACTGGACCAAATTCAGCCCTGGTGTAACTGGGTGTAACTCCTATGGATGCCAATGGGAGTTGTATCCACTTACACAATAGATTAACTTGTCCCACACCATCTAGAACCAGTTTTTGTACATGTGGGAGCTGACGTTCTGCCAGCAGCTGCAACAGATTACATAGGAGAGGACATTTTGATTTTAAAGTTGACAGAAGGTGCCCAAATTACATCGTGTGTGCAGTTTTGGGGTCCCCTATTCTGCTAATCACTTTGCACCACATGCACCCAAGGAAAAAATGTTTACCTGGTATGGCCACGGTTAACCTTTTTTCCTTGCTGAGACGGTACTCATGGATGAGTTCACTCATGGAAGGGGGGCCCCTCAGAAGAAATGATTCTGTGGAGGTGGGATCAAGGGGGGCTCTTAATATATTCTGTAGGTAGGTCCCTGAAGTCCTGGGATGGCTCTGATCACAAGGGGAAGGTGAGAATAGTCTTGCAGGAGATCCAAGAAAAATACATATGGAAACAAAAGAGTTTTACTTTAATTATCTTTAAATGCCTCATGAATGACAACAGCATGCTAATTTGTTTAACAGGTAAAACCAGCTAGTGTTGCCACCTCCTATCATTTCCACAACACGACATGTTGCCTGTGTTGGAAATTCTTTTTCATAGTTGAGGAGGAGATGAGGTTTATTTATTTATTCTCCACCCTCCTTCCCACCCCCCATCATTATATTCAGCATTTAGTGGGCTCCCTGAACATTTTCTTATCCTTTACATTGTGACCAGAAAGTACAGGGAAAGGGAATGAACACCCAGGACACTTCACTAATGGAGTCCTTTTCAGTGTCAGAACCACTGACCTCTCCACAACTACACAGCTTTGGCATGACAGTCAAAAGACAACATGAGAATTCACTTCTTGAACAACCAGAACATCTGCTTTAAGTTATAAACAGCAGTCATTCCCTTTGAATATGCAGAAAAGTTCATCCGAGTGAACACATCCATATCCTTCTCCCACTCACGAGGAGACAGAGGCAAGTCCTATAGCAGTGGCTCCCAAACTTGTTCCGCCGCTTGTGCAGGGAAAGCCCCTGGCGGGCCGGGCCGGTTTGTTTACCTGCCGCGTCCGCAGGTTCGGCTGATCGCGGCTCCCAGCAGCCGCAGTTCGCTGCTCCAGGCCAATGGGAGCTGCTGGAAGTGGCGAGGGACCCACTTCCAGCAGCTCCCATTGGCCTGGAGCAGCGAACTGCGGCTGCTGGGAGCCGCGATCAGCCGAACCTGCGGACGCGGCAGGTAAACAAACCGGCCCGGCCCGCCAGGGGCTTTCCCTGCACAAGCGGCGGAACAAGTTTGGGAGCCCCTGCACTATAGCATGTCAGAAAGGTTTTGTTTGTTTGGTTTGAAAAAAAGCATTGACATGCTCACAGAGCATATCTCTTTAAAAATTTCTGGAGGTTATTTTGCTGTTTGCAAAACCTTAACTCATTTTAAAAGGGCAAACAAGGTGTACTGAAACACTGACAGAATATAGTCTCACAACTACAGTAAAAAGGAGGAGATAACATTATGGGTAGATGGAATCAGAAACACACTTTGCCAGGCTTTGAGTTTTGATCAGCCACTATTTTTATCCTCCCCTCTCCCTTCTCCCCAACCAAAATAATAATAATAATAATAATAATCTGTTTACAATTCAGTGAATGACTTTAACTAAAGTCTGGCCACTGCACTGTACTATAAAGATCACTGCATGCATACCTTTTCCTCTGAGTGCCACTGCTGACCAGTAAGTTTGGTTGCTGTGGGCCCTGACTATGCAGGAGGAAAGTGTCTATGGTTGGCACGGTGGCTGATGCTTCCTCACTTACTTTAGAGCGGCTGTCCTTGCTCTTTCCAAGCTTGCCTTTGCTGCGTCGGGACTGCTCGTGATCAAACTCTAAATCCTCCAGTCGCTGGGTAAGGGCAAGTTTTTGCTGGATAGCCATCCGCAATAGAGAGTTTAAGGTCTTCTTCTCATCCTCTGCAGCTGCCAACTGCCTTTGCATCTCATCCAGCTGTGTGACATACTCATCACACCTGGAGAAACAAATGGAATAGAAGCCTAGTGAAGTATTCTAAGAACCAAACAGAGCAAAGCAGAGATGGGCCTGAACCAACACCCCAAATCTAAACCATAGACCATGATTTGTATCAAGTTCACAGCTCAAACTCATCTCTAGGCCTAATCTCAACCTTGCCCCCCCACTACTCTGAGATTCAGATCTGGATTTCAAACTCTCAAGTTCAACAGGAGAATTTGGATCCAGAGTACTGGTGCGGCCCATGAAAACTTTTCAGATTTCAGATCCAGCTTATGTGTTCAGCTCTAGGGTTTTGGTTTAGGACCATCCCTAATTTTGAGCACAATTGTGATGTGGGCAAATTAAACTGATAATTTACATAACATGAAGGGGGTCATAAATAATACATTCTATCTAAAGCAAAGTATTACACAACACAATATGACAAAAGCAGGTATATCTTCATTCAATACCCAATATTGCATAGATTGTGTGATGAGATGCTATCAATTATTAGCCAGTGCTAATTGTTCAAAAGATATATGCCACTTTTAGGGATCAGGAGGTTGTTCGGTGTTTAGGCCCATTCAGTCCTTGACCAGACTTCCAACAGGGAGCCAGTGAGGCAAATTGTAGTGAGTAGGGTTTTGTGATGTGGACACTTGCTCGTTTTACCCAAAAGCTGTCAGGTGGTAACTTTCAGACCCTCTAGCTCACAGCCTTAGCAGAATTTGAAATGGTGAACTGTAAATAAAAGCTTTGTTTCCCATTACCATTCTCCTAATCCACATACTTCTCCCATCACTTCAGCGTTGGAGCTAAACAATAATTCGCATCTGATCGTACCCCTTGTCTATCCCTCACTTATTTTACATCTAAGTTTTGGTCTTACAACAACCTGACATTCTCTCACTATTCTAATTGTATATTATTTACATCGGAATGGTTGAATCATGAAACTCACTTTGTACAGAAATGTCAAAGAAATCAATCACTCAACAGTTTGAATTTCTACCCCACAGTTCTCCTGGTCACACTCATTTGGGGACTTTGACCCATGTTGCATCTCATATTTGGTCTTTGGAAGGTTCTGAGGTACGACTATATCGCCCAGGTGATATCGTTAATGTTTATAAAATGCTTTGAAAATTAAAAATGAGTCTGACTTAATAGTGGGCCAAGACATTATGTCATGGCATTAGTCAGTTGCTGGAGTGAAACAGCTTTAATTCTATTAAACAAAGAGCCTCTTTTCCAGTCAGAACTCTTACTAGATGCAGTCCAATTGTCCTGCTCTATGGATAACTAGAATGGTATAGTATCACTCATTTTCAGCAGCATCAATGCTTCCTACATGCTTTTTAAAAAATACTAAAATATGCACCCACTATGTTAGAAATTTCATTACAAAAATTGTTTGAATTCACCACAAAATAAAAAAAGATCTATTTAAATAATAAAATCCTACCATTTCTGTCCTAAGGGCAAAATCCTATTTAAGTGTCACCCACAGTAACTCCGCTGAAGTGTATGGAGTTACTATGGATTTACAACAGTGTAACAGAGACGAATTTAGCCCAAATAGGACTATCAACAGGAAGTAAACACCCAGTCCACCATTTTATTTTCTCTCTCAAAATGTCTGACTCACAATAAACCTCTGAATTCTCGCTAACTGAATGATGAAACCATTTAGTCTATGAATTGTATCCTTCAGTTAGAAAGCAGGAACACAGTGTTTGGAAAATTCTTACTCAATCTATATATACATTGTGCTCTTCTTTCAAGTGATTTTAGTTTTAGCTTTCATATGCAAACAAAATCACTGTAAGCCAGCCACAGCTTCAGTATATATCTGCTTTCTACAGAGCTTTAACAAGCAGGACTGCATTTGATTGTTCAAGCTATGGGGAAAAACAGATTTTGCCGCAATGTTGGCTGGCTTACAGTCATCTCTGACACCTCTCGCTGATAGAAGCAGTTTGATGTTTATGGATGTTTTAATAAATCTATTTGACAGGGCCACTAGAATGATGTCAGCACATTAATCAATTTGAAATACAAATGGCTGTAATACCCATGATATCTCAGATTTAAATTCTTACTCACTGGGATCCGACAGATCTTGTATCTCCCTTCTCCAGTTTTCCTCTTCAGTTTACCCAAGAAGAGATAAAGAAACTTTGACTTCTAACTACATCCCCAATAGGAAATTTACAAAAAAAATGTAACTACTAGATTCAACACCACAAACTCTTGCAGTATAACACTCGCAACAGAACTGATTGCTTTGCTTTCATATGCCAATGATGCAGTTTCCTTGTTGGGTTAAAATTAGTTGACTTTAGACCTCAGAGAATACATGCTCTGCAACTGCACAACTGCCTTGTAAAACAGTGTAACTTTGCAGTTATTATTTAAACATAAGGCTTAATGAAGATGTAGGTTATTAAAACCAATTTAGACAAACACAGTTCTCACTGCCATATAGGAAATCATCATAAATTGGCTTTAGAAGTTTGGACGTACAAGGAGTCTTTTTTACTGGTTGTTTGTGACCTGACATGCATGTTACCGATGACCTAATAAAAGCAGTTCTCTGACTGTTATCCTTAATTTTCTATACATCATAAACTTATTTTCATAACGGCAATTCTTGACAATTCATTGCAGGGCAATTAAAGTCACTTGATCTACACCACTACTCAAAGTATGCTATAATCTCTCAGAAACGTACAGCCCATTGTTTCTGTGTTTTGTTGAGAACCAGTGTTCTAAAAGTTTAAGCACGTCAACAAAACAGTCAAATCAAAGACTATGATTGGCTTTTGAGGCTGCTGAATCACCAAAGTGCTATAAGTCTCCTTGAAGTCCACAGTGGTGGAAGCTATTCCCGTTTACAGAAGGTTGTAGCCTGTTGTAGCCATGGTACTTTCCCTCTTATGTTAAATATTCCATACAACATACAGTCATGGGATAAAAAGATAAACATTTCTGATTAAAGAAATAATAATAATGTGCATATCTATAGGGCCTTTCACCCAAAGTCTCCAAATATTTTACCCACATTAATTAAGCCTCGCAACATATTGTGGCAGAAAGAAGTTAAGCGCTAACATGAAATTAGGCACAGTCCTGAACTTGGGGTGGTAGCTATGCGGAGATCCAAGAGGCATTGTGGCTCAGAGTGGGGGTTTTAAATACACCTCAGTGATTTAGAAGCACAAATTCTACTGCCTTTCAGAGGGACTTGTGCTCCATCCTCAGAGTCACAATTTTCTCCTTCGTTACTCTTCCTCTGGTATGGAAGTAAGCAGATATTGGCCCATATCACCAGTCAGTTACCGTCACCACCCCCTACTCCCAACACAGGCTCAGCTGTGATGGCCAGCAAGAAGGCGGGGTGGGAGCCAAGACCTCTTCTCCCTTCCTTCAGCACTAGACTGCTTTTTCTCACCTCCTCTCACCATATCGTCTGCTGTGGCATGTGGAAATTAAGGTTGTTTTTTAAAAGCCTTCCGTCTATTACTATGCTCTCTCCATGTGCGTTACTCTGTCTGTCGCACTGTTTCATAGGAATGATGCTCAAACCCTCTGCCACTCACTCAGAAGGAGTAGAGAGGGCTGGTGTCTCGTGTCAGGTCTAGGGATACAGGAAGGAGCAGGGGATTGAGTGAGTGGGTTAGGGATCAGATCTGGGGCTCAGGTGGGCAGCAGTAGTTGGCAGGGGATTAAATCAGCTTCTGCTCGTCCAGGCAATAAAATAGGAATTCAAATTCTACTCTGCCAGCAGGGTTCCATCTACAACCATGGCCCCAGCAGATCACTTCCCCTGCTGAATAAGCTTCAGCATGCATACTCTATTAATATCACAAACAAAAAATGCCATTATAAAAGAATTATGTCTGAAATAATCTTTTAATGGAGTCCAGCTAGTGCCCCAAAACATGATTACACTTAAAAAACTTCTTCACCTTTAAAAAACCCAAACATTAGAATGTCTGGAGATGACCAGTTAAGAGATCTAGCCTGTTCCCCACCACCACATAATATTTCCACACTCAGCTAACGTGGCCTATCTGACCTTAACTGACTCCCTAACTTTTGCAAAAATCCATGCAAAGGTCAAAACAACAACTGTCTTAGGAGAGCATGGGAAACGGATCCTCCTTTGAACAGGAAATGGATTTTTATCAAATCTTCCCCTGTGGGTGGGTGGGAGGAGATCTAGAGTTGTGGGGAGCATGTGCTCCTGGCAGGGGAGAGGGGGCAGATGGGGGATCTGCCCCTTTAGCATCCACGTGAGGAACAGGACTGCTGTTTCCCCCTTGAAGACATGAATTTAAAATGCTGCATCACCACAAAGATGGTATATCTGATTATGTACAGCGGAGCACCAGAACAAACAAAAGTTTCCCTACAAAACAGGGAAGTGTACTTCATAGAGGAAAAAAACACTCTCCTTGCAAATACTATAAAACGGAAGAAATCATTTTAATATCCATATTTATAATATAAATATTCTCTTCTTTCAAGAACTGCCATTCCTGCAGTATGGACTCAGAAACAGGAATCATGTGATGCAGGGTTGCCATAGGGACCACTCTACTTTTCTTGAACAGCAGACTACACAACTGAATTTTCACGCTTAAGGTTATGCTACAACAGAGTCGCGATTAGAAAAATCTCACATTCTTCCATTTTTTCCAGACAGATTTTTTTTCTTGAATTGATGCCAACAGTACATTGTTTGGAGTAGCAATTTTTATTTAGACAAACAGTGCTTCAAAACAGGGGACAATGACTTGCTGCATCATTTGAGCATTTGGAAAAAGCGACTTAAATATAAAATTCCTTAGATTTTGGGGGAGGGAGAGGAGAGGGGAGATTTTCAGCAGAGCAGAACCAAAAAAATGTACTGATACATATGATCTGCAGTGAAATTTTAAAAACACACTGACTTTTTATGACTTTCTGTACCCACAAAATACTACACAACCTTTTTGAATACTACAG